TCAACATTTTAAGCATTGGCTTGTGATTGTTACCACTAAGGCTTGGGGAGAGAGGGGCCTCGGTATTAACTATTGAAAGCAGGGGGCCTAGGACTTGCTATTGAAAGCAGATCTGCAGGGTATTTGTGTTCTTTGTCATGAAAGATGTTTACTGTGTTCAGCATTTTGCTGTGTCTTTCTTTTTTTTTTTGCCTTTTACATTCAAAATTCATTAAACAAAGTTGGGGTTTTTTTTAACAAAAAATGTCAGCAGGGCTTCGCATCAGCCGAGCTGACAGTGCGTTTGACCAGCACTTTCAGCCCATGGAGCTGTTTTCTTTTTCTAAACCAAAATGACGGTCAAAAAAGGATGTTTTTAAAGAAGCCATCCTTTTTCTTCGCTGGACTCACTTCTGAAAATCAGTCCTATTGTGAAAAGTGTATTTCTAGAACAACTAAAGCTCCTTCAGAGCATTGTACTCTCCCAACAAAGCAGAAGGAAATAGTGAGGCTGTGACTGATTAAAAAAGTAAGTAAAAATAAAGTTCAGATCTTCGGGTACATTAAAATATATTTAATTAAACTTTTTCATGCTGCAAAATTGGCAATTTACTCTCTAGCACAATCTCACTGTACCTTAATGAATGATTTGCCATCCACTGTGCCAGAAAGGAAAATAAATGGAAAACCTTTCCCTCAGACCTTCCTTGATATTCATTGTGATGTGAGGATTTTGGGGGTCAATCTTTCCATTTCACAAAGCAAATGAAATACTGAAAGAAGATGATGGGAAGTGGAGAGCCGTCCAAACCAGAACAAATAGAGAAGATAGTAATGAGAATGCACTTCAGTGTTCATTAGAAATCCTATTTTGCAATGCTGTTTTACCATTTTCCACTCAAAAAAAAGTCCAACTCTCCAGTTCCAGCATATTTAAGAAATCATATGTCTTCAATGTTCATTCTTGTGTTTACAGTTTCACTTCCATTTTTATTATAAAAATTCTAGTCTATATTCTACATTATTATACAGGATAGTTATTGTCTATTTCATCTAAATATAGGAGAGAGAATTAATAATTTCCTAGATACGAACTGGGACAAGAGTTGAGCAGAGTATTATAGCCAACTAATCCCTGTGAAGTTTGCTAAACACACAGTGCCGCTGCTGACAGATCCCATGTGGATGCACATGTCCCTGCCACATGTAATATCAGACACAGGTTAATAAGATCTTACTGACATAGATTCACTCTGCTTATAAATTCACTGCTCACTGTTTCCCCAACAGCAATCTCCTATCAAAGCCCAGAGTAAGGAAAAGGACACTTCTAAAGGGCAAAGAAGACAAGAAAAGCAGTAAAAAATGAGAGATTTAATAGTAGGGAAGAATATGACTCTAAAAGGATCAAGCACTGCGTCCCAGTGTAAATGTTCTAGAAGAAAAAGGAGAAGGAGAGATGTTGTAGAACTGAGAGAACAGTAAAAAAGAAAAAGAGGATCAGTTACAGGGAAAAAGTAACCCAAGAAAATGTGGATGAGAAAGCTGGAATATGTTTCCTGAGCTCTGTGAAAGGTTTGGGGAAATATTACACTGCAGAGGCTCACTCAGTAAAGACAAAGCAGCAAATTATTCAGCTTTCTGGGTAGTGGAAGAGCAGAAAATTCCTCTGTCTGAAGAGTTAATGAGAAAGTAGTGCTGAGCCAAAGCTTCACTGTTCCCAAAGCTCTCTTGTATTTTCAATCAGTTCTTTACATCCATGATATTTAGGGTGTGATGAGGTTAAGACACGGGCTATTTCCTCACACCCCACAGCCACAGCTCACAGGAGCCTCTTGGCAAGTGACCCCGTGGAGCTGGGGGCAGCAGGGAAGCCCCAAAGCTGGGGCTGCAGCGTCCCTACGAGCGGGGAGAAAAGTCTCATCCACGCAGAAATGGGAAAGAGCAACTGGCTCCCATCTGGTTTATTCTGCTGTGTTCGCGGGGGTGGCAGTGGGGACAGAGCACCTCATCAATTACGTTCATATCAAAGACCGCTCCTTAAGGGCTGTGACAGGGATTGATGTGGCTCCTTCAGTACAGGGATATCCCCAGGGAAGGAGCTGCCCCGTCCGCACACGAGACCCTCAGGCAGTGCTGGGGCAACGCCGGGAACTTCGCTAGGAAGCAACACGGGATCATCCCTCTCAGGCCCCCTCCTCGCAGCAAACCTCTCCCCAAAAGAAACTTCCCTCCCCGACCCCGCGCTGGGCGAGCCGGGGCCGGAGGCAGCGGAGGGGTGTGAAGGGAGCAGGGGGCTGCGGGGGGGACCGCAGCGGGGCCGGCCCCGGGGACACCCCGCCCCGGCGGGGCGGGACGAGCCGCCTGCCCCGCACCGAGGCGTGTAAAAGCGGGGCGGCGGGGCCGGGGAGCAGCGAGCGAGCGGCCGGGGCTGCGGGACGAGCAGGTGAGCGGGGCCCGGAGGGGCCGGGAGGGCACCGGGGCCGCGGCGGGGCCCGGGGCAGGGCTGAGCATCCCCCGCGCTGTCCCGCAGGTTGCACCAGTTGCCAGGATCGCTGCACAAACGAGCAAAACGTCGTCCGAAATGGCAGCCGAGGTGAGGGGGGACTTTGCTTTCCCCGGCGGGGGGGTGGTCTCCGGGCGCTCTGGCAACCGCGAGCTTCGGGTCTTTCCCTACTTCGTTCGGAAAAGGCTCCCCGGGGGTGTGGTGGAATCAGCAACCCTGGGAGGGTTCAAAAATACCTGTAGATGTGGTCCTCGGGGTCACGGGTTAGTGGTGGAACCCGGCAGTGTTAGGTTAAAGGTTGGACTCCATGATCTTGGAGACCCTTCACAACCTTAGTGATTCTATGATTTGTTTTCCCGGGTTTTCAATGGAGGTGGGGACAGCAAATATCTTTGCTGCAATATTCCAACACCCCACCTCTGATGCTGGGCTTAGCCTACAGCAGCCAAGATATACCTGGGCACCTCTTGCCCATCCCAGCCCTTACCTCCCATCACCCCCTTTTCCCTCCCGGTCCCCTCTGCCATCGCCCCCAGGCACGGGATTCTCAGCAAGGAGCTGCAAAACTTTGGCTTTTTCAACTCCCATAATCTCCCCCCGCCCCTCCCAGCAGCTTCTGCTGACGAACCTGCTTCACACCCAGAGCTCCAGCACCCCGACCCTGCACGCTGGCTCAGCAGGCTCCCTCCTGCTCTTCCCTCGACAGTAATTTGGGGATAGGGTTGCTCCGGTGCCCGGCCCGGCCCCGCCGCCGCCCGCTGTCCATGGTAGCTCGGCCGCCCGCCCGGCCCCGCGCATCTTCCGAGCCCTGCCGGGGGTACTTCGGGCTTTTTTTCTCGGTTTTTT